ATTTAATATTTTTTATTTTAAAAATTTTTTAACATGTATTATATATTTTTACCATTAATTTGATGTGCCATTTCTTAAAATTAAAAATTTAAAGTAACAAATCATATCGACATATCTTTTGAATTATAATTTACCTCAACGCAATAATTTAGAGGTAATTTGCATTGTTTGGCCATTTGATGAATATCATCTTTTACTAATAGCAAAGCCCAGATCATGCCACCGCTTCTCTTTCATATTTTAATGGCAATATAATTTATACCGTTTTCATGGAACACTCGTTATATTTTGAACAGATTTACACACAAACATCGCCGGTTGCCTGCAGTCTGGAATCCGTCATAAAGAAATTCTACTTAGCAACCATTTCATCTAGTTCCATATCTCATTGCACATCATACCGTAACGCCAATATATATTTCAAGACAGCAAGATAGTTAATGAAACTGCAGCTAGAACAGTGTCATTGTTTGTTACACAATACAATACAAGAAATTAAGCTGTCTTTAAGAGAGTTGCTCATCAAGCAAACTATCATAAATAGAATCATTTGAACGGACATTGCTAGTGCAACATAAACAAAGTACTCATTATACAAGAAAACAAGCATTAATCCAAGTTCAAGTGGGCTAATGTCAGATGAAATGAAGAAAACAATACCATCACAATTCAAACCACACGAGACGAATCTCATTTGCTTTTGCTCTGCTCCTCTACTCAAGAAATTTGCTTCGACATCGTAAGAACTCCTACAAGAATCACATGGTTATAAAAGCAATTAATTACATCAACATCCATGACATGATCCCAGAAATTGATTTTAGGTCTTTTATGAGTTATGTGCATCTGATATAAAAGTAAACAAAAGATCAATAGCCAAGGAGTAGCACTATGAAATAGGTAGCAGATGAGGCAAATCAACTGACTAAATAGTCAAGAAGTTAGCTAAAGATGATTTGTGCTAAGCAAACTTACTTGTGGAGACTAGATCATTCATCTTCAGTTTTAGAAGCGTCTGTCCATTGCTCTCAAATGGAAGGCAAATACCCTTCTATAGTTAGGAATGGAAGAAGGATATCCTTAGTGGAAGGGTTGTCCCACACCAGAGATTCCCACCATTCTCTTGACTTTGTGTAGATTCTTCTAAATGAAGGAGGAGGACAGAGCTCTCCATCGGGAAGCAGGGGCAGACATAGAGGGATCCTCTTTAGCTTTGGGCATTCAACTATTCCAATTTTTTCTAGAGAATCACACACCATTACTCCTCCTGCAGCACAGATGCTCTTCAAATTTGGTAAGCCCACCAAGGACAGGACCTTCAATTTGGGAAGAATGAAAGTAATTGTTTCATTTTTTCCATCTGTCTTGAGAGCTTCTTTCTCTTCTTCCACTTCCATTATTTCCTCAATTTTTGCGCAGCTAGTAACATCAATCCTCTCCAAGTTCTGGAGACCCTTCAACAACTCAGGTGTAAACAGCTTCTTGATTTTGGGACATTTGTATATTAACAGATTCTTAAGATTGGAAAAGATGAAAGGCTGTGTTTGTGGACAAGATGTACATGATCTTAAATCTGATAATACCTTTAATACAAAAGCATCGTTTAAGCTTTTAAAACCGCAGCACTTTGCAATGAACAAAGCCTGAACGTCATCCGGAAGCAATGCGGGATAATCTCCACTGCTTTCCATTCCACCCAAATACAACGTCTTAGAGCAATCATCATCGTCATCGGTTTCGGGATCAAAATTAGAAGCAGCATCGGAAGAATCATCATTGTCATCATCGTCATCAGTTGCTTCCACACTAAGCTCATAGCTAGTAAGCTTTTGACCTTGAAAAGACTTGACAAAATTGTTGTAGTCTTTTAGGTCATCAAATCCCCTGTGAAGTGAATGATCATCGCATGGCTGTAAGATGGGAAGGAAGATATCCTTAGCAGAAGGATTGTCCCAAAACAGCGATTCCCACCATTCTTTAGACTCTATGCAGATTTCTTCAAGTAAAGAAGGCAGAGAGGGCTCACCGTTGGGAAGCAGGGGCAGATATAAAGGGATCCTATTTAGCATAGGACACTCATATATTATGATACTTTGAAGAGAATCACAAACCATTACTCCTCTTGTAGCACAGATGCTCTTCAATTTTGGTAATTTCTTTAATCTCAACTTTCTTAAATTCGGAAGAACTAATCTGATGGTTTCATTGTTTCCCACTGTTGTGATTGTTTCTTTTTCGTCTTCCACTTCTATTATTTCCTCCACTCTTTGGCAATCTTCAACATCAATCTCCTCCAAGTTTTGGAGACCTTTCAGCAGCTGAAATGGAAACAGCTTCTTGATTCTTGGACAGCATCTTATTTTAAAAAATTTAAGGTTGGAAAATATGGAAGAAGGTGTTGGTCTTGGTGCCCGTAATGTCGAGGGAGCCGATGCTGCTTGAGCTTCCACTTTCACAAGTACTTGCAAGTTACTCAAATTATTAAGCTGTAGAATTTCAAGCTTATCAAATGAGCTGCAGACTGAGGACGATGAGAATAAGTCAAGCATGCACTCTAATCCTTTACAATCATTGATCTCACAATATCTTAAATCTGTTGCTGTATTGAACCAAGAAGTCTCATTTAAGATTTTCACATCGTTGCACTCTGTAATCTTTAAAAGTTGAACTTCATTTAGAGGCAATACAGAATAAACTCTTCCAATTTGCACACCACTTAAAGCAATAATCTTTGTAAATTCCACACCTGCGAGCAATTCAGAGTAATCTCTTCCCAGTTTGAATCCATCTAATCTCATCTTCCCATCAAAAGCAGTGCCCCTACCACCAGTAGATCCCACCCTAAGCCAGTACCTAGTGAACTTTTGATCCTCATGGAAAGACTTAACAAAATTGTTAAAGACTTGAAGGTCTTCAAATTGACCTATAAAAGTCTCCAACACCTTCAGCTTAATCACCTTTTCTGCTTTCATTTCAAAAGTAGTAGATTTCAAAACCACTGCAAGAAACTGGAGATGAGTGAGGTTACAGAGTATTTCCGTTGGTAGCCCCACCAGATCTGGACAATCTAGATCAAGATGTTGGAGATTCACTAACATTTCCATGCCTTGTGGGACCTCCAGAATCCCTGCCTGCTTTAGATCCAACTTCTTCAATGCCTTCAACTTTACTAACGAAGGCATGTATCTTAATTTACGACAATAATCAAGCCGTAATACAGTGAGATTTTCTAAAATGGAAATGGAATCAGGTAAAGCTTCAATAGCAGTCCAAGAGAGAACTAGAAACTTGAGGCCAATCATGTGTGCAAAAAAAGAATCTGGAATCTGCCTCAAAACATGGTTCCGCGACAAGTCCAAGCCTGAGAGTTTTGGACAGTTTGGAGACATACTAGAAGCAAAATCTGTTATTCCATTTTCACTGAGCCAAACCTTCTCAAGGTTTTCCGTCCATTCATTTGCTTCTGGTGCCTCTCCTCGCCACAAACCAGCTTTTGCCATAAATCTAGGACCAGCAACTTGCAATGCCATTTCTCTCATCACATCATGCATTCTTATATGATCTGAGTAATACTCCGCTCTCTCTATCAAGCATTTATTTATGAGACTATTTAAAATAAAACTGGCTCTGTCATGCATTGCTTTTCTAGTCTCTAACTGTTCAATCAGCCCATTGTCAATCCAATCTTGTATTAATTCATATCTCTCAATGCTCCCATCTTTAGGATATAGGGAACAATGGAGGAAACAATTCTGAAGTTCTGGATCATTCAAACGATCATAACTAAATTTCAACCGTTCAAATATTTCATCACCCCAATCTTTCACCCTCTTTACACGGTTCCTCAATTCAAACAGAGCATATCTCCACATAGAAATATCATGTTCTCCCCTCATGCTCTTAGCTATTACAACGATAGCAAGAGGTAAACCTGCACACTCTGCCACCACAAGGTTCAAAGTTTCTTCTAACTTTGGAATTTTCATAACATCATGTCCCACCGTATCCAGGAATAAGTTCAAAGATTCTTCCTCTGGAAGTTGCTGCATCCTAATAACTTTTTCACAACCAACATGATTGCACAGCTCAATCAATCTGCTTGTAATAACTACTTTGCAACCATTTTGCTGTGTTGGTTTTGGGATTCCAACATCCTCAAAAGACAACCTTCCCCAGGCATCATCCAAAATCAAGACAAATCTCACTCTGCTCAAAATCTTTAATAATGTAGCTGCACGCTGCTCGTCAGTCACATTTTCTGGAAGTTCCTCTTTAATGCTACTAGCAATGTTATCTTGCAATTTAACAACACTGACTGGATATGGTACAATGGCCCAAATCACTTTCTGAAACTTTGACTCATTTACTAAGTCATTGTGGATGTTCTTCATAATAGTTGTTTTCCCAATTCCTCCAGGACCCCAAACTCCAATTATTCCAACATCATTACCCATCAAGTATCCCCTGATTTCTTCCTTCACCTCGGATCGACCTTTTGCATCCTCTATTGGCAATGTCATTCCACTGCTTGGAGGTTTATCAATGAAAATGTTGTCAGGGAACCTTCCTTGTTGAAGAAGTTCTTTTACTACTTCAATCTTCTTCTGAACACGTTTTCCAAGGGAGCCACGACAGAGGCAAGAAACACTTTGAAACTTCCGTTCAACATTTTGAATTTCATTGTTGATGGTTTGTACATTTACAAGCCAGCGCTTCACTTCTTCCCTCACTGCTTTTGTTGAGCTAGCCTCTGCAGTCTGTTTTCTTGATTTTATATCTTCTTTTAGGCTGTTTAGATCTCCCAATCTCCTTCTCATTTCTTCCATATTTTGTTGAAGGTTTCTATGATGTTCCAAATGCCTGCACACTGGAGGCATTAGGCAATTCAGCATTTCAATGATTGGCCCTGCAAGATCCATTAGGCAAGTTCCTGAAATCATGAAATAAGAACTGAATCAATACACCAAAAACAAGCACAAGCATGAGGTTAATTATATTTCGATAATTGGCCAAACTAAAAATTAATATCTCAGACTTGAAAATTTCAATTTTGGAATCAAGCCGAAGGTTTTAAACTTTTGTAATAAGATATATGTAAATTTTTTTTTCCTCAGCACATTTTTTCTGATATTGCATTTTGTAGGTCTCTTTGCATGTTTTAGTAGGCTCACCATATGGTCATTTTGGTCATGTCTGTTGATATTGGTGCAGTTTATCTCGGCATGATTTAGAATGTAAATGTATGTTTATTTTGGTGTATGTATTTAGTTTTACAGTCATCATGTTGCGCGTTGCATGACTTGGTTAAAATTGTTAGCTAATATAATATTTACAATGATATTATAGTTTTAAGGTGCCAAAAAGTAAGACTAGAACACTTTTGACCGTAAATATTAAAAAAATTATTATTTATATGAAACCTCAATCCACGTTTTGTGTGATACATTCATATTTTTTAGAAAATTTTTACTAATCATAAATTTTTATAATAATAGGTTAGCATAAAACACATTTTAAAGTAATCTTTTTGATAATTATTAATTTTAAATAGATTAATGTATAAAAATATTTGAACTATAGATATGAGAAAAACCTTAAATGTTAAAATTTAATCAAGCAGTGACAATTTTCATAAAAATAAAGTCACTCCAATGTTTATAATGAGTTGATTATTTATATTTAATGTGATTCTCGTACTATAATATGAATATAATGGTAAGATTTATATTTATTGATAATGGAAAAGT